CTTCCTAGGTGAGCAGGGGCTCTGGAGTTGCCAAGTGGGGAGATGGAATGGCAACCTATGACACGTGTCTAACTGCCCCAGTCCCTGGTGAACAGTTGTAGGTTTCACCCCTCTTTCTTCTTTGTTCCTTGGCGCCCTTTCTCCCTGGATATTGGAAGCATGGGCAAGTTGTTCTAGTCCCAACTCTGCCTTCAGGCTTGGTGTTTTCAGGCAACTCTTTTAATGTGGCTGGGCCTCAGTTGCCTGAAATGTACAGTGAGGCTAAATTAGGTCTGAGGGTCCCTAGCAAATTATTTGCAACAATACAACTTTTGATATTCATGGCCAGCTCACTTATTCACAGTTGCTGTCATTCCTCATTTCCACAGCTTAGAGCCCCTTCACTGGCTAACGGTGGGCGAAAGCTAGGAGTGTGTGTCCGTAGCAGAGGTCAACATCTCTCTCAGGCTCCCGATTCTTCCTTAGAGTGGAGGTGGAGTGGGGATGATGATTATTTGGTTTACCTCTGAGGTCATGTTTTCTATAGTAGCTGCACTAGGTGGAGAAGGTTATGATCACCTATTAGCAATCTGCTAGGATTGTCATCTCACAGATTGGAGGTGGGGACTTTGGCGATAATAGAGACTTTGGACTTTAGCCTGACCTTCACATTCCCTGTGGAAGGTGTGGCCTGAGGTAAAAAGGTTACCTTGATAAGGAACAGTAATAATTTTTATATTTCTGGACACTGAATGATAAGCATTGCCAACTGAGAGGGCGGAGGGGAGGCCTGCCGGATCAGTAGACTGTGACGTATATGCTGGAAGTGTGCGGTTTTGTTGTCATGTTACTCATCCAGTCAGCATGCATTCACTGGACACCCGTGTGTCAGACACTCGTCCAGCCATTGAGAGTTCTTTATTCCTCAGGGCCGGTACTAAAGACTGTATGTTTTTTCTTAGATATTTGGCCTGCAGTTAGTTTCCTGCCATTAGGAGACAGTGGTTTTGTTGATGGTGCTATATAATTCAGTCCTAGGGACTGAGATATAGACATGTTTTGCCTGGGAGGGAGATTCTAGGAAATTTTCCTTTTTGGAAATAAAATTATTTAGTAAAATAATCTTATACTCTAAGATTAGATAAAAATATTTTAAATAATTAATATAGAGAGAAATCTAAAAAAAAAAAAGAAAGCAAAGGTCTAGGTATAATTAAGTACCTTACTCACACTCCCTTAACTGTTCTAATTGTTAACCTGTGATTCCGTTCCCATTGTGTCTAAAAGAGGAACTCTCCATTCTTTTTGCACTTCCTTCCTTGAATGTAGAAGTCCCTGGGCTTATATATGGCTCACTGGCACTGAGGCTTCCCTTAAATCTTTTCATCTTTTCAATACTTAGCCTCTTGAAAAAGAACAGCCTGCAAGGGAAGGCCTATCCTCCCTGGTTCTCCCTGCTCTCCTGCTTTTTATTAATGTATAAGGTATTCAGTACCTATTATGTGCCTGGGATGGAGCCTGGTCCTATAACTTGGAGAATAAATAGGAAAGACACGTTTGTGCCCGTGAGCTGCTCGCAATCTAGGGAGGGAAAATAACATACGAAGTGCTAAATTATGCTACACTCCTGCAAGTTTTGAGTGTGGTGTACCAGAAGAATAGAAGAGAGTGCTTGTAACTTCTTGAAAGGCTAGGCTGTAGAGTTTTCATCGAGTTATGGTGATGGTTGAGCTAAGTATTAAAAAAGGCCTTAGAGTCTTTCATTTGGCAAAGATGGTACCAGGATATAGCATTTCACCTTCACAACTTAAGAGAAAGATGCCAAAAGCATGTGCTCCAGGGATTTTGGTTTTCAATGAAAAAAGAATCATTTTCTGTTTTTCCCCTTAAGAGAGAAAGCATTATAAAATGCAAGAGAAACGAAAAGCAAGGGCAAACAAGCCTCCCTCCTCCAAATAGTGCCAACGGAAGGTCCTGGATTAGGTGTTCCATGAAACTGAAGTACAGTAGCAAAGCTGTCATGAAATACTTTTGGTCAGTCCCTTAAAAATGAATCTCCAAAAGAATAGTGGGTAAGAGTGTTTCCTCAGGGCAGATTTCTTGAAATGATTATATTTCTTCTAAACAAAACATTTTAAACATTTGAGCAGAACACTTAACAGAAATTTTGGAACAGAAAAATAAAGTTATTTCATCCCAGTGTTAACTCTTAATTCCTTCTGCAAGTAAAGGCCAGTGGTAAAGACAATTCAAATATTTTAAATCTGATTTCAGAATGCGATCTATAGGATTTGGTTCTTTAAGTGTATCATATACTTTTCTTGGATCATTAAAATGAGTTCGTATTCCCTGAGCAAATAGTTGCCAAAATCAGAGGGGACACAGAATTTCATCTGTCATCCTGATTTCCCATTGGTTCCCAAAAAAGAGAGCTATCAGTTAGGTTTTGAAAACTCTAGACTCCAAGAGATCAACTGCTGCTTTTATGTTGAGTTAGGTTGGTACTTAAAATTGATTTTTTGATTCACAGTTTTTAAGCATACATAGAACAAGAGAACATAGTATAATGGACCCCAGATAGTCATTCTGAATATTAAACAACATTTGGTCATACTTATCCATGTATTATTCCTTCCTTATTATCTTTTTTTTTTTTTTTTTAATTTGAGAAAGAGTTTCATTCTTGTCGCCCAGGCTGGAGTACAGTGGCATGATCTCGGCTCACTGCAACTTCTGCCTCCTGGGTTCAAGCAAATCTCCTGCCTCAGCCTCCCGAGTAGCTGGGATTACAGGCGTCTGCCACCACGCCCAGCTAATTTTTTGTATTTTTAGTAGAGACGGGGTTTCACCATGTTTGCCAGGATGCTCTCGAACTCCTGACCTCAGGTGATCCACCCATCTTGGTCTCTCAAAGTTCTGCCATTATAGGTGTGAGCCTTCTTTTCTTTTTCTTTGGAAGGGGGCCTATAATATTATATTAAATCCAATCACAGACATTGCCATTTCACTTAAAATATTCCCATATGTCTTTAAAAAATAAAGAAAAATTTTGTATCACAATACTGATATTTTATATATAACAAAGTTACCAGTAATTCTTTACTGCCATTTAACTCAGTATACATTTATATTTCCTCATTTGTCTCAAGTGTCTTTTTATAGTGGTTGGTTTGTTCAAATCATGATTCAAATAGTCTATAGCGTTAGATTTTTTTTCCCCTTAAGTCTCTTAATCTAAAACAGTCCTCCTCACCCTTTTGCTATTTTTCTTTCCTATAAAATTGACTTGTTGAGGAAACCAGATCAGTTGTCCAGTAGAATGTCCTATATTCTTGAAGTATCTGCCTACTTTCTCAAGGTGGTATTTAACTTATTCTATCCTCTGTATTTCCTGTTAAGTTGGAATAGCTTCAGATATTTGCACATCATTTTGGCCATTTTTAAAGGAAATATAAACATTTTACAAATTTCATTTCAGCCATTCATTTATTCAACATTTGAGTGCCTCCTATGCACCAGGCACTGTTCTAGGTTCTAGGTTCATTGGGCTATGCTTTGTTTTCCTAGCAATTCTTTTGCTCTAGAGGAATTGCACACTTGTTTTTTAATTTAGGTTTTTTCGTCCATAGTACATTCTCATGATTCAAATATTAGTAATTATAAAAGAAATATAGTGAAGTCTCTTTTTCACCCTCTCCCTCATCAGATCAAGTCCCAAATAATTATATTTTAAGTTTCTTGTGTCCTTTGGAATTTTTTTCCTACATTTATCAGATAATAGGAGCATGTGTTCTAAAAATATAATATTTCTAGTTTATCTTTAGCATCAACATTAAAAGTAGTTTTTACAGCCAGGGTCAATTGATAAGTATATATTCTTTTTATCCTTGAAACTAATCCTTCCTTATCTCCTGCTCCCGACCCCTTCATTTTTGGGCAAATGATAGTATTTCAATTTTTAATGTAAAATAGTAGAGATTTTTATTCTAGAAAACATTGTCCAATATCAGGTGACACTTAACAGTGTTCTTGACAATGCTGTTAAAATGAGAAGTATTAGAACTGTGTTCCTGAAATCATAAAATCTTACTGAGTATTGTAATTCTTAGAACTTTTAATTTGAGCTATAGCCCAAGAGGCTTACCAAAAGGTGCTAGGCAATTATTAATCTTTTATGGCTGGGTGCAGTGGCTCACACCTATAATCCCAGCACTTTGGGAGGCCAAGGTGGGTGGGTAATTTGAGCCCAGCCAGGAGTTTGAGACCAGCCTGTGCAACATAGTGAGACCCTGTCTCTACAAATAAAAAAATACAAATATCACATGGGTGTGTTGGCACGCACCTGTGGTCCCAGCTACTCAGGAGGCTGAGGTATGAGGATCACTTGAGCCCAGGACGTGGAGGTTGCTGTGAGCCCAGATCATGCTACTGCACTCCACCTGGGTGACAGAACAAGACCCTGTCTCCAAAAAAAAAGTTAAAAAAAATTAAGCTTTTATATGGAGATGTCTCTCTGGGAACCTGGTAAGAAACTGAACACTAAAGAAGCTACTAAGAACTCAGTGGATACTGTATAGGAGCTTTCTTGATCTACAGAGGTAGTTTGCATAAGAAATAGGGGCGTTTCCCTACTGTTTTTGAGACATACATGTAAATTGTTAGAAATAATGGAATTTCAATAACTTAATATAGAGTAACATAGAGCATTTAGTGAGACCAAGGGGGGGAATGCTGTATTATATTGAGAAAAGGGGGAGTATATAATATTAATAAGGAATATAATTAATTTATTGCCAGATCAGGCCTAATTAACTTCTACTAATTATTTAAATTTTGATTTACTTTATTAAAATATGCTTATATCCCATTTCTTTTTTAAAAGTTGAAGTTAAGATGTATATTATAGGATTAAAAAATAGTAATAGACATGGAACATCAGAATTAAAATACATTTTTGGTTTATTTACATTTCTAATGTAAGCACTCTAAGTTTTTGTTGTTGTTTCTTTCTTCCTTTTTTGGAACCCATGCTTGGTTCTATCATCGATTGCTTAGATATAAAAGCCACTTTTTTTTATCTGTAAAAGGAAACAAGGAGATGAAATTTACTTGGTTTTCTATGTTTTTTAAAAGTACTCTAGAAATGGAGAATATCCATTACTAGAACTTTAACTTGGTTTAAAAAAAAACAACACTTTTTATTTTGAAATGAAGACAGGAAGTTAGCAGAAATGGTGCAGAGTCTTATGCATCCTTCATCTGGTTCCCTCATTGGTGGTATTTTATATGACTGTCGTGCAATAATCAGAATCAGGAAATTGACATTGGCATGTTACTGCTAACTAGACTAGACCTTAGTCAGTTTTCATCATCTTTTTAACCTGCATTCACATGTGTGTATGTGTATGTGTATGTGTGTGCATGTGTCTGTGTAGCTTAGTGCAATTTAATCTGATATATAGATTCATGTAAACACCATCACAATCATGATACAGAACTGTTCTATCACCACAAAAGAAGTCTGTTGTGCTGCCTCTTTGTATTTGCATTATGTTTAGGTATTTCTTTTTATTTTTTGAGAGCAAATAAAAATGATACTGCATTTTTAATTTTGATTTCCATGTGTTCATTGCTGGTATATAGTAATACAATTAACTTTTGTGTGTTGATTTTGTGTCCAACAACCTTGTTGATCTTGTGTTCATGAGAATAGTTCTGTGAGTGTTTTTATAGATTCCTTGGAATTTTCTACATAAACGATCATGTCTTACACAAATAAGGGCTGTTTTATTTTTTGCTTTCTGAGACACGTATGCCTTTCTTCTTGTCTTATTGCATTGGCTAGGACTTCCAATACCATTTTGAACAAGAGTGGTGACAGCAGACATTCTTGCCTTGTTCCCAGTCCTAGGTGGGGAAACATTTATTTAGTTTTTCTGTCATTAAATATTATGTTTGCTGTAAGATTTTTGCTGATGTTCTTTATCAACTTGAGTAAGTTCCTCTCTATTCCTAGTTTGCTGAAGTTTTTTGTTTTTTTTTTTTTAAATCACAAATTGTGTTGGATTTTGTGAAATGCTTTTTCTGATAATGCTAATGCAATTTGGCAAGTGAAATTTTTCCTGTAACTGTTGCCCTCCCCAAGCACTCCTTGCAGGCCCCATATTGCCGGTACTTAAATATGATAAAAGGAGAAAGATTCCAGATAAAGCAATTTGGGATATGAATTCATATTATTGTATGTTAATTCTATATCAATGAATGTCAAGCAGAATTGATTATATACTGCTAACTAGACTAGACCTTAGTTTTCACCATCTTTTTCACTGCATTTATGTGTGTGTGTGTGTGTGTGTGTGTGTGTGTGTAGCTTTGTACAATTCAATCCAATATATAGATTTGTGTAAGGTTCTGGATTTTGTAGTTCTTTCCTTTCTTAGTAATATTTATTGAGGTAGGTAGAGAGCGAGGGATTAGGAGTGTGCACTTTGGAACCAGACTTTGTTCTAATGTGGCCTTTATCATTTACTAGTTATGTGGGACCTTAAGCAAAGTCTTTAACTTGTCTAAGCCTCAGTTTCCTCAACTTTAAAATAGGACTAATGTTGTGAAGATTAAATGAGATAATGTATGTAAGATGCTTCATACATAATGGGCATTTAATATGTGTTAGCTGTTGTTGATGCAGCACTGATATGTTTAATAATGTATTAAACTCTCTTACATTCAAAGCATTCTGCTGGGCATCTGGGATGACACGGGGTCATATGAAGTACATAATTCATTTTAGAAGAATGTGCCATTTAATTTTCAAACATCTCATTGTTTGAATAAATGAATGAAAACTTTTTTCTCTTTGCACTCATCCAAGACCAGTCAGTCTTTGGTTTTTACCCTTCCACTCCTTCCCTTTGTCATTTATTTTCTCTTTCTCTCTCCTACCCCTTTCCCTCTCTCTTTCTCACTCCCTGTTTTTTAGGTAATAATCAAGCTGTCATAGGTGAACCAGTTTCTACCCCTCTGCTTTTTTCTGCTCTCATGGGTGTTCCTTCTTCCCTTTCTCCCTCATTTTACTTTTTCAGGTTTTCATAGTTACCCTGTAACTGTATTTTAAGGCAGCTTTCCCTTTAATGTTTTCCATTTCCTTGAGGAACCTCAGGATAGCCCCTCCTCATGTTTTACTCTCCTGTTTCTGAGCCAAAAAGGACCATGACCTTGACTAAGCTCTCTCAGAGACACCTGAATCCAAAGTAATACTAATTTTAAAATTAATGACATTAACGTCTAAAAGCCTTGATGGTGCCCAGAATTATTTAATAGAATCTTCGCTAAATTTTCCACTTCTCTCTTAATTTTCTTCTAATTAAACTTTATTTTCTTCAAATAACAGCATCATGATAAGTTAAAAGCCTGACTTAATTTTTGTTTAATGGCTATATTTTAGAAGAACTTATTTCTATTATTTTCTCAGTGCAAATGTATAGTATTTCTGCCACTTCATGAATTTTTAAGAAGCTTTCGTATGTTGTCCTAAGAACCTAGCCTCCTTTACAATATTATTTCTAGAGGAAAATGCATTCTGCAAACTTCTAACAAATAAGCCAACTCTAGTGACCCCTTTTGTTGGTAAATTGGGTACTCCTTGTACTAAATGTTCCAACTTGTAGAGGATTGCAATTTTTGCAGGTATTTTAGAGAACCAAACCAGCCTGTAAGTGCAGTATTTAGTTCATCTTCCTTGGAATGAAAACCATCTAATTAGAGTTGCCATGACAACTCTGTTTTCATGCAGTATAACAGACCTATTGATCTGAAGTTCAGGTTGATGGAGCATGTGTACATGTTAGTGACAGAAGCCATTATCCAATATCTTACAGAGTGTTGGCTCCATTTCCCTCCTAGCCTATTTTCTACCTTATGCACTCACAAGTATTTATTAAGCACCTATTGTGTACAGAGCTCATAGAAGCCCCTGAAATATTCACCGTAAGAAGAAAGAAACAGTTGTAAAACCCTATCATGGACATAGAATAAAACCCCAGTAACTTACCCTCTCTTTCATAATCTGGCCTTTTCGTGGACATTTGACTCTTTCTTCTCCTACCTCCCCGATACCCACCACTTTGGCCACACTGGCCCCTTTCTGTGTTTCAAACACTTCAGCCTCATTTCCACCTCAGGGCTTTTGTACTTCACATTCCCTCTGCCAAAAGGTCATTTGTCTACCTCTTTTCATATTTGGCTCCACTTTATCATTTGAGTCTCAGTTTAAATTTATTTCCACAGAGAGACTTTCCCCGATTTCCCTAAAGTTGCCACCTGCCATCTGCCCTCATCCATTGTCATGCTCTTTGACATTGTGATATTTCTGTTTCTTTTTTATATTATTATTGCATTGTCTCTTATTAGCATATAATTTCTATGAGAGTAGGATATGGCAATGTCTTGTTTACTGTCATATCTATTAATATTTGTTGAATGAATGAGTCATAGAGTGATTTAATATCATAGTGGTCAAGAAAGATTTCATGAATTGGCACTGATTTAAGTGCTTTGGAAGACAGTGGATATGGCTGTGTAGAAATAATGGTCAGAGGCGTTTTATGTGTGAGGAATAATCTATACTGAAAAGTACTATGTGCGTCAGTTTGTTCAACAAGAGCATTTCTGAATAGCCAGTTGCACTGTAAGGAAGGGACCACTTGGAGAGTGATTCTTTCATTTTTACAATAGCCCTGCGAAACTTATTATTATCTCCATTTCAGAGATAAGCAAACTGAAGCTTAGGGATGTTTTAAACAACTTGCCCCAAAGGCAGTATACTAAGTGATGAAACTGAATTTCAAATCTACATTGCCAGTCCGATTTCAGAGCAAGGGTGCTTAACCACCTCATTTTTCTGGTTCATTCACACTTCAGGTTAATTTTTGTTAGGTTTTTATGTCATATCATGCCATATATTTCCATGCTTTTACTTGGGATGCTGACTTTCCTACTAGAAGTAAATTGCTTGGTGTTCAGTCTGTAGGTATTTATTGCTTGCCTACTGTGTGCAAGGTATTATCGCATATTAACAGCATTAATTGAAAAAAATCACCCAGCCAGTTACATACTGTGTTGGAGAAAATTAAACTCATTGAACTCATATTTTCTTTCTTTGAAATTCTCTGTATCATATAACAGTGGATCTAAAATTAACATAAAAATTTAACGGGTGGTTTACAAGGATTTTTGTGTAACTTTTTATGTTGATATTTAAACTTAAAAGAGAAAAAGTTGCAAGGATAGAACAAGGAACTGTCTTACTCCTTGTACACAGATTCCCTAATTGTTTACACTTTGCCCCATTTGCCTTATCATTCTCTCTGTGTATTTATATTTTTGTGTCTGCTCATTTTTTTCCTAAACTATTTGAGAGTAAGTTGGGGCCACAGTGTACTTCACGCCTAAATGTTTCAGAATGTATTTCTTAAGAACATGGACATTCTCTTATATAACCACAGTGCAGTTATCAAGTCAGGCACTGTAACATTGACACAGTACTATTATCTTATCCACAGTCCATATTCTAATTTTGTCAGTTGTTTCAGTAATAACCCTGTTAGCTATTTTTTACCCTGGTCCAGGATCCAAGCCAGATCACACATTGCCTTTAGCTATCATGTCTCTTTTATTTTTTAAATCCGGAACAGTTTCTCAATCTTTATCTTTCTTAACCTTGACATTTTTGAAGAGTACGTATCGGTCATTTTGTTCTTTAATTTAGGTTCATTTGATGCTTCCTCATAATCGGATTTGTATGTGTGACATGATGTGTCTGTCCTGAGTAGAGCACATCAAAAGTCACATGATGTCAGTTTGTCCCGGGATTGGTGATGTTGACTTTGATCACCTGGTTAAGGTGGTGTCTCTGTGGTTTCTGCACTCCAATGTTACTAGTTTTCTCTTTAATAAGAACTCTGTGGAGTGATGTGTTGAGACTATGTAAATGTCTTCCTCAGACTTTCACCCACTAGTTTTGACAGCCGTTGATGATTCTCCAGCTGCATCTTTCTTTCTACATTTATTAGTTGGCTTTCTACTGTAAAGAGCTTTCCTCGTTTATTTATTTATCCATTAACATATGTATGTCAGAGGGGATTTATTAATTCTGTTTTATTCAATGGGACACACACCATTACTGTCATTATTTATTTTGCTACATAAACAAAGCCTCATTTCATCATGTTTCCATCAAAAAACAGTTGTATTTTGAATGCTATATTAGATCTCTAGTGTTGCTGTAACAGATTACCACAAATTTAGCAGCTTAAACCCATGCTAATTGATTATCTTACACTTCTGTAGATCGGAAGTCCAGTGCTCCTGCAGCTACAGTCAAGGTGCTAGTGGGCCGCATTCCCTTCTGGAAACTCTAGTGGAGAATCTGTTTCCTTACTCTTTCAGGTTGTTGAGAGAGTTCAGTCCCTTGCAGTCGCAGAACTGAGATCTGGTCCTTTGCGAAGGTCAGTTGAGCTTCTAGAGGCTGTTGACCTTATTTGGCTCATGGCTCCTTTCCTCCTTCAAGCCAGCTTTGGCAGGTCCAGTCCCTCTCATGCTTCAAGTTTTTCCTGCCTCTTCTGTCATCGTATTTTTCTGGCTGACTCCCCTGTTTTCCTCTTCTACTTTTAAGGACTCATGTGTCTAGATGGATTGAGAGCCCAACCAGATAATTCACGATAATCTCCTCATGTTGGGGTCCTTAGCCTTTATTACATCTCACCAAAGTCCCTTTAGCCATGTAGGGTAAAAAATTCCTAGCTTCCAGAAATGAGGGTTTGGCAGCTTTGGGGAGCCATCATTCTGCCTACCACAAATGCCTACCTGTGTTCAAGGCTTGTGTTAGGAGCTTACTTATTTCTATTTAATCAGGAAAAAAAAAAATCGGGTAGAGGATTACAAGCAAAGAAACTTCAGTGAGAAATTGCTTTATGTTTAGTTAAAAGAAATAGGCTTGTAATCAAGAGTGGGGGCTGAGGAGATGATGTTGTAGTAACAGAGCCTCAGAAACGGTGCTTGAAGGTTGCTTGAGCCGTTGCGGAGCCAAGCAAGCACGTAGGGTTTAATGCTCAAGCGTCCCTGCTGCAAAATGAAGCTGTGCTGCTGCTGGCTGCAGGCACTTCGGGAGAAAAATCAGGGCTGGTGAGAAAAATGATACTGAATGAGTTGTGGCTCCTTGCTCCTGTTTCCTGAATTTTGTCCCTCACTTGTCTCAGCGCCTGGACCTGTTTCTGATGATGTGCTTTCACTAGCTAGTCACTGTTTCTTCCTTTTGTACCAAACAAGTTTGTGTGGTAAGATTGGATCTTTCAGTGTTATACACACCAGCAAAACGAACTGATTGTTGAAGCCCAGCTGGTCTGTGGTGGGAGGCAGTGTGTGGCGCAGTGGTGGAATGTGTGGGTTCAGAAATTGGATGGCCTGGTTCAGTCCAGTGTCCATCATTTACTGGATGAGTTCTTTTGAGTCAGTTACTTAACCTCCCAAGCCTTACTGCTATTTGTACAATATATCAACCTTACAGGCCTTTTTTAAGGGTTAAATAAAGAAAAATAAAAGAAGCTCTTAATATAATGCCTGGCTCATGGAAAATGTTTGTTATGTGTTATTTCTTATTGATGTTCTTCTAAATAATAGTAGATTTTAGATCAATAACATAGAGTTCCATAGTCCTTGGGAATTAAAAAAGCTCAACTTCACAATCAAACTGTGTTCTTATATACCTTAGTACCTCTCTCTCTCTCTCTCTCTCCATCTCTATGTCTGTCTCTATCTCTGTCTCTCATGTTACAAAAGTAATATGTGTCAGTTAACTTTCCAATACCAACAAAAAAAAAAACAAGGATACAACTGGGTGTGGTGGGTCACACCTGTAATCACAGCACTTTGGGAGGCCAAGGCAGGTAGTTTGCTTAATCCCAGGAGTTTGAGACCAGCCTGGGCAACATAGGAAGACCTTGCCTCAACAAAAAAATACAAAAATTAGCCAGGCGTGATGGCAGGTGCTTGTAGTCCCAGCTACTCAGGAGGCTGAGGTAGGAGGATTACTTGAGCCCCGGAGGTCAAGGCTGCAGTGAGCTGTGATGGTGCCACTGCACTCCAGTCTGGGTGACAGACAAAGACCCTGTCAAAAGAAAAGAAAAGAAAAGAAAACTATACAAAGTGCAATGTGATCATGTGTCTTACTGTAATTCTTCCTTCCTCTGCAAGATGATCTCGCCGATTCCCAAGTGGGAAGTGGAGTAAAAACCTCTTCCCTTGGATTTCCCTCAGTTAACCTTGGTATCTCTCCTTTTACCACCGCTGCTTCTCTCTCTCTTTCCCGTTTTTCCTGTCTCTCTCTCTCTCCACCGAGACCCAAGGAAAACCTCTGGGACACCAGGCAGGCCCTGTTCCCTCTGAATTTGCTTCTTTCCGTTCCTGTCTGAGGGGTGTGCTCATCCGGTGCCACATCCCTCTTCTTCCCTGTGCTGGTATTTCTCTGACTTGGGTGTGCCACCCTCTTCCTTGGGACAGTAGGCCTCAAGTTTTAGCCTCAGTGAAAGTGCAGGGGAGAAACACGATTTACTGAGAAACACGAAGTACATCGATTTAGTATGTTTGCAATGTCGCCCTATTAAATCAGTTTGGGGTATTTATTTATTTAGTTGTTGTTGTTGTTGCTTTAATTTAGCCACAAAAAAATGTGTGACACATTACATACTATTCTGCCACTTGCATTTTTCCTATCCAGTATATCATGGCCATTTGTCTGAATGGAAATGATGAATGTATTTTTTAAGTGGCCATCAGAACCTGAAGGCTGCTGTCTTCCTGGTGGCTGTGTGGTACTCCACTGGAAGACTGCTATAATGTGTTCAACTTCCCTGTTGCTGATTGAAATTTGTTGTTTACATTTGTGATTTGGTTCTACTCATATGAACTTGTCGTTTATTCTCTCCAGCGTTTGTCTTCAGTCCTTCCCGGGCCTAGGAGGCAGAAGTCACTCAGAATATGCCCCATCTCTATTTCGAGTCTAGAGTTGGGTTGGTGTGTTTTTTTGTTTTTGTTTTTGTTTTTGTTTTTGTTTTGAGACCGAGTCTCACTCTGTCGCCCAGGCTGGAGTGCAGTGGCGTGATCTCGGCTCACTGCAAGCTCCACCTCCCGGGTTCAAGCTATTCTCCTGCCTCAGCCTCCCAAGTAGCTGGGACTACAGGCACCTGCCACCACACCGGCTAATTTTTTGTATTTTTTTAGTAGAAACGGGGTTTCACCGTGTTAGCCAGGATGGTCTCAATCTCCTGACCACGTGATCTACCCGCCTCGGCCTCCCAAAGTGCTGGGATTACAGGCGTGAGCCACCGCACCCAGCGTGTTTGTTGTTCAGGCAGTGAGCATGGCTGCAGCTTAACGGTTTCAGGAGGTGATGGGAGCAAACTTAAGGGCTCGCCTTGCTCCAGAGTGACCCTGATCCCAAGTTGGTTCCTAAGGAAATGAGGAAACATCCAGAAAAGTGAGTTGTCCTGAGTTAGCCCCAGACTGTATTGAGAAGCAATCTCGGTCTGATTGGGAAAGGGAGGTGCTGATGCGAGCCTGGGGCCCCGTTGAATGGCCGGAGCTCTGTGGTGGACCTTGTGTACTCATGCTCAGGGCTTGCCAATGGCCCAGAAGTTGTGAATCCTCCCCTGCCCTCTGCTCTAAGACTCTAAATGCCTCCACGGGGTTCTGTGGAAGAGTCATTTCTGGAGAGTGCCAGGAATCCTGAGAGTTAAGAGTGTCTTGAACTGAATCCTTACACCAAGAGGCCTAGATTGATGGAGAGCCCAACCAGAGAATTCAAGATAATCTCCTCATGTCAGGATCCTTAACCTTTATCACATCTCACTGAAGTCTCATTTGCCATATAGGGTAAAACACTCATAGCTTCCAGAAATGAAGCTATGAATATTCAACATGTGATTCCACATGAGTCTGAGTGAAACTGCTTTGGGCCCATTGAGGCCGTGGATGCAGTATTGATACCTTCACATCCTGCAGGGGCAGGAGATAATAGCTATGGGCCAGCCATACAACTTTTCTCATAAGTCATGTTTATATTCCCCTCTGTGCTATTAATACTGCTCTATTAGTACATGTTTAGTGTTTTGGTTTTGAAGGCTTAAGAAAACAGCAGCAATCCAAATTCTCAAGCAACCAAGAAAGTGGTTTCCAAAAAAGTTATTAAGCCAACCTCAATTATATTTGGCCAATTAAATTGGCATTGTCCTTGTCTACAGTTCCCAGAACCCCTTCTCTTCCTGACTAAACCTTTCCCTTTCTGTTGTGTCTCGTGTCACTGGTTTAAGGAAAGCAAACACATCTACCTTCTGGAGTTATCAGGTTCCTCAGTACAGGTTCCCCTGAGTTCTAGGCAACCTGGACCATGAGGCGCCCTGGCCCTGCTTCCCGGCAGGCCTGCCCCACACTGTCTAGGGAAGTGTGGGCCCTTGTTACTGTTGTGGCTGTTTTGAATCATCTATTTTAGAGAATTGGCTAAAAATAGTATTTAAATTAGTGGATATTTTTTCAAAGTAAAAGATACCAGGTAAATAAATTATGTTATTCAGAAATAGATTCCTAGTTTTGCACAGATGGATATTAACAGAAGTGAACTCCCACTTCCCTGTTACTAAGTAAACAATATATTTAGTAAGATCAAATGTTTTTGAAATGATAGCAATCTACTGAATAGATCTTATTTTTGTTAAAATACTAACTCTACTTATAGCCTCCTCAATTCCCTCTTCCCGTTCTGCTCCAGCAAATGGCTCCTCCTACTTTCCAGCTGGTTTGGGGAGCACACTGCAGAGGGGAACAGTGCCCCCATCCAGTGTCTATGTCCTGCTCCCCATGCTCACCTTTGTGGACATTTCCTGGGCAGTAGGTGGCACCAGGGCCAGGCACCCGGGCTTGGCACCTGAGCCGCATCAGCAGAATGGGGAGGAGAGGGGGTCCTTGTAAGCAAGCACCTGCCTGCGGCCCCTTATACTAGCTCTGCCATTCTTCCCTTCATCGTTCACCACCTTGACTTGGTCATACTCTCTGCTTATTGGGCAGCTATGGTGGCAGTGAGAGTAGGGGGCTCAAGAGGAGACAGGAAGATCAGTGGGCAACTGGAATGACACCAATGACTTGGCTCTTCAAGGTAGAACTGGGGCCAGGCTGAATGTTGCCAAAATTAGAAGAGCAGCAACTTTACCTATTAACTAAGGTCTTTAGCTTCTAAGGACAGAAGACTCCTTCTGTATGGTTGAAACAGCATTTCTCAGGAGTGGGGCAGTTGGACAATCTGTCCTTTTAGTCCATATCAGAACCAGCTGTGAGCTTTTTTCTTTCTTTTCAAATAACGCATTTCTCCACCCTGAGATTCCAATATGCTATGTTAGAACAAGGTGGGAGAAAAGGTATTTCTCCTCCCACCCCTTCCTCTCTCCCCAAGAGAAATCTCTGGAGG